TTATAAAAGGAATAGATTAATTTGTTTTTTTTATAAATTTATTGATATTATTATTTATTAAATTATAATATATTAAATAGTATTTTTTATAACTATATAATATAGTTTACAAATTCTATTTAATTTATTTTAGAATATTTTTATAATATAAGTATTTTAATTCTTACAGAATTATATAAAACTATTAGTTATAAAGAACTTTATATTCTACATTTTAAATTGAATATTTTATAGAATATTAAATAATTTGTTTAAAGAATTTAGTAATATTAATATATATAATAGAAATAGAATATTTTGGTTTTATAATAATTTTCTATATATTCTAAAATTAGTAATTATTTAAGTTAAAATTGGTTTTAAAATTAATTAATTTAGGATTATTTTAATCTAAATATTTGCTTTGCTATTAATATAACAAATATAATATAGATTTAATTCAATAATACTTTGAGATTAATAATATTAAAGTTTTTTTGAATATTTGGAATCTTAATAGATTTAAGAATTGTGGATTAATTTCAAAGTAATAACAAAGTGTTTTCAAAGCTTTTATTAATAATTTTCTTTATAAAAACTAATTTTGAAATAAGTTTTTATAAAAATGATTTAAAATTAATTAATATAATTTTATTATTTTTTAATAAAGTTATCTTTTGATTATTAATTATATTAAAAATAATAATTACTATAGAATTAAGAGAATAGTATTACCTTAAGCAATATATAAATATAAAATTTGAATATTATCACTAATTATTAATAATAGAAATTATACTATTAAAAGCTATAGAACATTAAGATTATAGAACTTTATAATTAAATAACATAATAATATAGAATAAATAATTTCTTTATAATTATTAATTTATATAGTAGAAATATATATTAAAAACTAAAATATAAAAAGTTTTTTATTAATTAGAAATAACGTAATAAAACGTATAGGGAAAATAATTTATAGTATATTAAAGCTTCGAAAAACTTTTTTATTAATAACTATACTTATAACTCTATTACTGCTATAATAATAAAGGAAAAAATTATTTAAATTAAGAAGATTTTTTATTAAGATTTTTAGAAGAATTTATTATATTATTAATCTAAATAATAAAAATCCCTTAGATTAATATCTTTTAATTTTTAAAGATAAATTTCCCATAAAAAAACCTTGATTTGTAATTATAAATTAAGATTAATCTTTTAATATATTTAATTAAAGAATTAAGTTTTTATTCTTTTCCAAATAAATAAATTCCTTAATATATTCTTTTAGATTAATCTTTTAATAAGATTAAAGGGAATCGAAAAGATATAATATAATAATATAACTAAAAAGTGATTAATAGATAGAAACGAATTCTGGTATAAGAGAATAATAGTATTATAATAGAATTTGGGGCTTTGATATTAATTAATTATTAAGAAATAATTAATATAAGAAGTATATTTTATATTAATATTATATTTTATATTATTAATTCTTTTTTCTTATAATTACTTTTAATATAATTAGACTTCTTATAATAAAGATAGAGACTAAGATTAATATATTATTCTTAAATATAATAAAATAGGGGATATTGATTTTATTAAATAGTATTTAATTACATAAGATTATTAAAGAAATCAGATATAAAAAAAAATATAATAATAGTCTACTTTCTATTATAAGATTTTGGTTATTTATAATTAAAATTAATATCTTAATTCTTTTATTAATTATTAAGATAAATCTTTCTTTTAAATTATTATAAATACTTTATTATTAAATTATTTATAAATCAATATAATAAAAGAGTTTATTGAAATAATTAATCAAAATATCAATTAATTCTTATGAAATCTTAAACTTGAGATTAATAACTTATTATTTAATGGTTTTCTTGTATTTAATAGTAAGCTATTTTGAATTTAGTAATAAAATTATTAAATAGAATTTTTTTCATTTTATATTTATTATAATCTATAGGATCTTATCTAAAGATTAAGAGTTTGATATTATTTATTAATTCATATTAAATGCTTATTATAATATATTATTTAGAAACTAAAGATTGGAATTATATAAGGTTATTAGTAATTATATTGAAATATATCTGATTATTTGTATAAATAAAGTCAAAAAATAAATTGATAAGGAATATAATCTTTTAGAATTTCAATTATTTTTGTAATTTATAATTAAATAATAATTAATTATACTATAGAATATTATATATTAATTTTAATATTTTGTAATATCTTATTTATTATTACTAAACTTTTTAAAAATAATAAAATATTTTTAATAAAATAAAACTTATAAATTATTATAAATAATAATTTTCAATATTTTAATTATATTCTTTAATTCAATAATCTTTAAATAAATTTATAAATAAAAAGATATTAGTTTTAATAGAATTGAGAATATAATTTAAAAAAGAAACTATAGAAAATAGATCAAATATAAATATTTAATCAGCTATCTTCAGAATACTTTTGTAATTATAAAATAATCTTATAGAATTTCTGAATAATAATAACTAGAATATACAATAGATTAGTAATAAATATGATTAATATAATTGAATTATGATTTTGATAGGAATTTAATTAAAATAAAGCTATAATAGTTTTATAAAAATGATATAAATTATTAGAATATAGGTAAAGATTTATATTATATATAAGGATAGAAGAGCTATGGAAAAGTAAGTTTCTACTTATAAGAGATAGGGCATGCTAGTGGTCTATGCCTGAGGCACGAAGGCAACTACAGAACATATAGTTGGCGCCGTGACATTGAAAAACTCTTAATTTATAGTTTTTATATTTATTTAATATTAATATTCGATATTTACTCTTTTTTCGATTTTTAATATATTTATTAAAATATTTCAATTATTCTAAATCTATTTTATTATTTGTTTATCTATTAGATATAGGTTTAATAACCTAATCCATAGAAAAATCAGTTTTGATATACTAATTAGAAAAATAAATCTATTCTTAAATTATTAAAAATGGAGATATAATTTCATTTTTTTTATTACTATATATAATTACTGTAGCTCATTCTTTATTATCTAATTATATTACCTTGCTTTTATCATTCCGTTTAGTATTAATTACTATTATTTCGGGGTATATTATATTTATTATAAAGTTTGTTTTATTAAAATTATAGAAATTATAGTCGAGAATATTATATTTTGCTTATATATTCGAAATTAATCAAAATCATTTTTTAATAAACTTAGAATTTTTGTAAAAAACTTTTTGAAAATTATAAATACAATTAAAATGTATTTTTAATTCGATTTAATATTTTACAAATTGATATATTTAAAGCTTTTCAATATATTTTGTATTTTTCGATTTGAGAATATGATTTATTATATTTTTTATATTTTTAAATTTAGATAGAAACTCTTTATTATCTATATCAATTATATATTAAATAATCATTTTCTTTTTTCAATTTTGTAATTTTATAGATTTTGTGTTAATATTCTATATAAGAAATAAAACCATCTATTCTATATTGAATTATTGTATGTGGAATATTATATAGTTTAGTAGTTTTTTGAATGCTTAATTTTTTGTTTTTTTAAATAGTTTTAATAACTAAAATGATTTGTGCTTCTTTATTAATCGTTTTCATAATAAATTATTAATAAATCATATATTAAAATAAAGAGATAATAATTAAGGTGAAAATGGCTCACATAATGATATGGCCCACATAATGATAAAACACGTTATATCGTTCGAGAACTCATAAGTATTTTAAAGTTTATTAAATTGATTTAAACTGAAATTTCATTAGACCAACTGATTAGTGATCCTGCACTAAAACTGTCAGTCGTTGTTACCTCGAACTCTCCATTTCAAGCACCCAATACTGAGGGTTACTTAATAGGAAAAGCAAGAAACACAATTGACTGTATAATGAGTACATCTCGCACACCAAACACAATCTCCTCCGTTATCTAGGCCACAACAACAACACACCCAGCCACTAATTTCATGTCGAAGAACAGGAGTTGGGTTAGAAGTGACTGAATTATTGCAGCTGCCTTTTGAAGCTTTGCCTGGATTGAAACACATTGTTGTGGACAAGGTTTTCTAAGATCTCGAATTGAATGTGGATGCAGAATATTCGTATTAACAGCTTGGGCTTTGGCGTCTTCAGGTGTGATGGCGTGATGTTGGTGATGATATTAACTTTAGTCGAGGGTAAGACTTTAAAGGGTCAAAGATAAGAGGACAAAGAGGGAACAAGGAGAAACAACGAAACGTCAGAGAGAATAGGAAACAACAGAAAGAGAGCAAGGTGCCTCGAAAAGAAAAATGATAGAGGTGTTGTCCCAAGAGATCGACTTTGGCCCCCTTACACTTAGCGAAGATAAAAGATATCGGCCTTCATCATGAAAAGCGCATGGGGGAAACAAGGACAAGTGACTCTATTTCGAATGACTGACGACTGGTTGTATGAATCGAAGGAAAATTGCTAGAAGGTAATGGAGTTCGATGAGCAATAAGGCCGCTCTAGAATACTCTGCCTCCTTCTGGTTTTGCGCTTCGCCGTTATTAAGTAGTTATCGATATAAAAATGCGAATTGAAGATAATTCGTTGATATCCAATCTCAAAATTATGGGCAAAGGAATTTCCGAGATAGCAAGTTTCCCTAGACACAAAATATCCATAAAGCCTCACTTGGTAGTCTTCAAGTAGATCGAGAAGAAAAACAGCATTCAAAATCGAGTGGTTTCGGATGCGCCCTGACTTGCAGACAATATTGTGAAGAGGGAATTGCAAAATTTTGTTGGAGGAAGAGAAAAGACAGTCACGATGGGAAAGACAGTGAAGTTGATGAAATGCTATCGTGGTGTTTGAAGAATATTAATTAATAGTTAGCACATGACCATCGACATCTATGCGTCACAAACACAGTCAGGATGACTCTCAGAATCTCTAAAAATAGATTAGTGAAGCCACCTCAACTCATAATTCAGTAATAATTCAGCCCAGACATCATCTTTGGGTAGACCAGCAGTGTCTGAATATCCGACTCATATCTGTGGAAAGTTTCCAAATATATGCAGATAGCCTGACATTCCAGTGATACACGCCTCCAAATCCACCAATGTGGAAATTGACAAACTTTCCCAAACCAATAAGCTTGCAACAAGAGAGCGCGAGGTTCTTTTTGTAAGAGTAATCTTTTGTATTGCGGATGCATACTGCTGATAAAGGTCCAAAACTTCAGAATTACGGTAATGGGATCATCAAGATCGATGATATCCGATAATAAAGTTGCAGCAAGATGATAGGGGTTATCATGTGATCCGGAACTGGGATGCAAATTCAAAAGGATGACGAAAGCTTGGGGCAATGTCTCAAGACGAATGTGCGAGGATTGTGATATCGTTTCAAAAGACGGCGCCATCAATGTCTTAAATGCGCTCGCATTTTGGTCCAGACCCAATTTCCAAATTTCAGACTTCCCATAGCTCATCGTTAACCAATTCAGATCTAGAGATGAAGGTGGTTTCAAAGGCCAAGCTTCTTCTGGACTCGCTGCTTCAATATTGCAAAATGCAATTATACCAAGAAGAACGGAAGTTGCCCATAAAGCATCGCGTTCTGATGAAGATTCGATTGATCCGGATGCCAATTTTTTGCTGAATAATGATACACTTTGACACCAATGAAAAGATTCCCGAGAAGACATTCTTATACTGTGCTCAATAGAGATGTGTCGGTCATGCATTAGCGTAAATGTGAGTAGAGCGTGCATCAAGTATGGATGCTGTAGTGGGTCAGCAGAAGATCAGTGGAAATTTTATGTTTCAACACACCAGACACGATAGCTTGATAAACTCATTTTGATATATTTGAAGGTTCCTACTCGTTGTTATAGAGTAAACAGTTCTCGTTTGAAATTTGTTCAATAACTCCAAATGTTCTTGGTCGCTCAAATCGTATACGTCAATCTTTCCGGGAGTCTTCAGCCGCGAACTAATAAAGCTTGGGACTGTTTGATTTAATGAATAGGGAAGTCTGTGCTGGAGAGTCTCGAAGGTAAAAGACTTCTCAAGTAGTTGAAGTGCTGAAGTTTGGTTGTCGTAATTGCAGAGAACATTAAATTCTGTACACCGTTTACACTTGGGTCTATCCTCATCGCACTGCAGGCGACCAGTTAAACATATTCCCTTGAGATGGGACAAGAATTTGGACATACCTTGACTTTTCTCAACTTACAGTTTCCACAACCACTACGTGATTTTTTATGTGGTCTTATCTTCCGGTGCGTGACTTTTCCGGAGATTGAGGAGGGTATTGTCATGGCTCTAGAGTAATTGAAGATTTATCAAGCGTAAGGCCCTGAAAGATAGAGACTCTATTGAATGACCCAAGAGACAGTGTAAGTTCTGGAAAGAGAAGGAGGAGCATGGGCTGTTCGCGATATGCTGCCTATGGATATCCTGCGAGATAGTAGCTTGTTTGGACGAGTCACACGGTGATAAGGGAATGAAAGGGGTTAAAGTTCATATTAGGTCAATCGTCAACCAGGCAAGCCGTAATGGTATTCTACGACCAGCATCGAATTTCAATAATATTCGATAAATTCCAGATCTGCATAACATATAAAAAAGCTCGACAAGGTACCAGAAGATCTTGAAGTCGAAGGTGGATTCTCTCACGTTTTTCCCAGTCTGGCGGTCTCCCATATGCATTCTTCGGAGTCGGATAAACAAATACCTAGTAAGCTTCGGATAAGTCATGGGACGCTAACCTTCATTCGCAATTACAATTCTACCCTAAGCTATTTTGGCCATTGAACCAATCAAATCATAGTAATCCAGCCCTCAATCTAGTTCCACTAAAACTTTAAAATGTCCCCACACACGTTCTTCGCATTTCGCTCTCGCTTTCTACACATACTAACTTCATCTCGCTTTGTGATAGAATGATAACATTATCTGCCAACGATGTCTGAAGGATTTCACACAGAAGTTGTAATTTGGGTGGAGAATCGGACAAAATGGAATGGAATTCTCCACTCATGTTGATGGTTGGGAGTCCGCAGCGATGGTAAAGAATGGGTATAAGTATCTTTCATTGTATGCTTGTTTTGAGGATAGGCAATCAGTTCTTAGCACATCTCTTTCTCAAATCAATCAGCCCTTGATACTAGGTACTCAGTCGCAGATTTATACCCATCATCTCCGTCAAAATCGGCATCCATCACATCCAGAAACTTTAGGTCCTCTCCTCGCTCAGACGTCCCACTAGCATGTCTTCCTCAATGAATCCCCCCTCAAATTCCGCATTATGGTTGGAACTGTCTGGCAAGCTGGAGGTGAGACCTGCGCCTTATACTCGACCTTTGAAGAATGAAATTGTCGTGAAAAACGGAGCTGTTGCCGTGAACCCGGTAGATTGGATTAAGCAAGATATGGGCAGCTTTATATTTCCGTGGGTGAAATATCCATGCATTCCTGGATATGATGTGTCGGGAGAAGTGGTTGAAATTGGCCCCGAAGTTACACGATTTAAGGTTGGAGATCGTGTTGCAGGTATGGCAATGGGTCTCACGGAATCATCCAATGTCCTGACGCAAAGTGGTTTTCAACTCTATACTGTCCTTTTGGATAATATGACTTCGCACATTCCTCATACACTATCTTATGAACAAGCTTGTGTAATACCTTTGGCACTTTCTACCGCAGCTGCAGGGCTTTTCCAAAAGGACCAGTTGGCGCTAGGATTGCCATCTTTGTCGCCAAAATCAACGGGAGAGACTGTACTTATTTGGGGTGGTTCAACCAGTGTTGGCGTCAACGCTATACAGTAAGTTTCAATCCTGCCTTTGTTATCCCCCTCATTCCCTTAATGATATCATATTAACAATAAGCCTTAGATTAGCCGTCGCAGCAGGTTACGATGTCTTTTCTACATCATCTCCCAGAAACTTCGACCTTTTAAAGAAACTTGGTGCAAGTCAAGTCTTTGATTACAACAGCAAGACTGCCATTGCTGATATTATAAATGCATTTAACGGCAAGACTACCGCCGGTGCAATTTCCATAGGACAAGGATCTGCCGATGCATGCATGGATATTCTCAATAAGTGTAAAGGGAGGAAGTTCCTTTCTATGATGACTTATCCCGTACCATTTCCACTACCAAAAAGATTCATACTTCCGAAAGTTATCTGTACATTCGTTCCTTGGATAATTACTAACCAAATTAAGAAGATTGTCAGAGGAATTGACAGCGCATTCGTTGAAGGCTCAACTGTGGCAATGAATGACATAGGCAAGGCAATTTTTGGGGATTTTCTTTCGAAAGCGTTGGAGAAAGGTGTTTTTGCTGCCGCTCCTGAGGCTATGGTTGTTGGGAATGGTTTGGAATCTGTAGAAAAGGGAATAGAAGTACAAAGGAAAGGGGTTTCTGCTAGGAAAGTGGTAATATCGCTGTCATAAACAAGCGTTGAGAAGTCTTGTTAATTAATCACTTTAAATAGCTCTATCACTAATAATATTCCTTCGTCTGCAAGATTATTCAAGTATTTGTCTGGTCTCTACAAAAGTATATATAGACAAAAAGACGCATGTCATCAATTTTTGACCGACTTTGTTTGTATCCAGATTGACAACAAATATGAAAGGAAGAGGTACTAGTTCTTGGATAATTTTCACCGATATTATGCTGTTGAAACGTGGCTTACGGTAGTGAAAAGTTTGCTACAGACACCTTGACGCATAAAGCGATGGTTCCAGAAAAGAATCTTCTGAACGACAGATCTCACTTTCACTGGAATTTTTATCCAGCTATCATGCAAGATGAATCATTCGGAGCGTGTGAGTTCTTTGGGGGCATTCATCTCGGATCGAGAGAATATATATGGACAACTGGACCAAGTGAATTGAAGTTAGAAACTCGAGCTCGGAAACATTCACCGATAACCTCTTGCAACATCAAACAGGTATTCGGAAATTGAAGATATAAAGGGTATCCTCATCCAAAACTTCTGACCTTTTCGTTTGTTTCCTCGAGATATCAAGACTTTAACGCGTATAGAATAAAAGATAAATAAATCTCACCAGCTCTCCTCTCTCAAAAACGGAACAACAAACATCACAAGCCTATAAAGCAAAGCAACTATCACACACCATATCCAAAAACCCTAAACCCAACCCCTCAAAAAGCGAACCCAAACCCTTCACTACCATCCACAATACAACTGGCGTCCTCACTGGACCTTGGAATCCCAAAGCCAAAGCATAGCAACGCATCAATATAACAAGATGTGGAACTCCAGACACACTCACCTTGCGAGACACTATGCTGGTGCGGCTGCGTACGGAGCATTCTTAATGTACGTCGCAGATAAATCTCTATGGCGCGAAAGTATGTGTACCCATTACTGTTACTTGTATGATTTCAAAGTGTAGAGGGAAATTATAGCTAATACATACGTCTTTGTGCTTATGAAGATATGAGACGAGCATATGGTTTTGCGTTTGCGGAAAGGATGAGATTTCCTGGGAGGTATAGGGGCTTTGGTATAGACGGAGGGTTTGTGCAGGGGAAGTGTGTGGGGGATGTGAGCAGTGTGGATGTAATTTTCGATGTTTGGTGGGATGTGAATGTTTGGAGAGCCAGAGGGAGGGGGTGTTTATATGTCGAAGGGGAGGAATCTGGGGAGTTTTGTTGCTTGAGAGTGGGTATGAGTGTAAGAAAGGAAAGGGGTGTGGAGTTGGGTGTGGTGAGGAAATAAGTGATCCAGATATTGCTATTGCCTCTATTGAGACTGATGAGGAGACTTGCTCGCCAGGAATGAATATTGGTCCAGGCGAAGAAGATACTATGAACTTGGGATAGATGGTGTTAGATCCAGATATTCCTATTCCTTCTATCGAACTTGATGGGGATGAATACACGGAAGAAAAGAGTCAGAAGAATGCGTACCGGTCGTTGAGCTTCAGAGCGGGAAGGATGAGAGACATGTTGTCGAGGAAGAAAGCAGCGATATCATAGAAGCAAGAGCCAGAGATAGCCACGGAGCTAGATGCCAAGAAAGAACAAAGCTGCGCAGAAATCACCAACAACATCTGCTTACGACGTCAAGAGGTCAGATGTGCTTAGGGAGGCTGTGCTCTCCATTAACATCACATGATGATGCAGGGCAGTACTGGTTGATGTTGATATTAGGATGAGTACTACTCGATTGCTAAGGTCCCGAAAATAGATTTGATGGAAAGCGACGATTTATTAGTTACATTAACTTAGATCGTTAGAATGGACAAAATCGAATCCGCACTATTGTCCACCTCATAGCGGTGGTATTCTAGCCGGATCTTTTCTTGGATTGCGTCTAACAATCTGAATTGAATCTGACCACCCAAAGTTCTGAAATATTGAAGTTATTCGGTGTCATTTGAGCAATTGAATCTGATTGAAATATCGTAATCTCTAAATCTCACGACAACTTGTCGCATTCATATATATGTATCCACATCACCTCATTATTTTACACTTTCTTGCACTTTCCAAGTTTCAGCAAATAACTACTTGTGAATTCAGAGCATTTAAGAAATTGATTTATACCTACCAGTAGAATATCCAAGGATCTACCCATACCCACCAATCATCATCCGGAACGCAAACACGAACGACGAATTAAAACCCCCCTCACCTGCCACCATTTCACCATCTTTCCTCACCATCTCTGCATACCATACCATCGCAAGCAAACACGATAGTGTAAGATTGCCAACACCAAAAGATGGCTGGGTGCACACCGAACAACGCCACGTGTGAATCACAGACTCCGCCAAGATAGCTGGCCCGAATTACCATCTTGAGGAGGTGCATGTTTTAAGGTTTCAAGTTTTTCTTCTTTATTGATGGGAGCCATTTCAAGAGAGGAAGGTTGAATGGAATAGGAGACACGTAGTAGAGGAATCGGATCAAGAAAACGCGTGCTTGATAAGGTTACTGGAGAGATCATGTTGATCGTGATGGGTCCTGCGCTGAAATACCCAGGTATCTATTTACTTGCTGTGACTGGATGGGGATCTCTGGGGCGGGGCATCGATGTACCTACCGTACCGTACTGTACTCGTACTGTATCGTGTCACGTGTGTTAATGAATTCCGCTGGTTTATGAGTGGATTCTCCGGGAAAGATTGCCAAGATATCAATATCAATATCAATATCAAAAGACATCGATCGTACCTTTCTCGTAGCTTCCTCGTACCTCACAGTAACGAATCAATCCCTCTTCAATACCCATCCCAACAATCCAGAATACTCGTGGCTTTCCACAAAATAACTTCGTAAGTACCTATTCCCGATAAATCACTAATAACACTCCATCTCCCAATCGCACAGTCCTCCCAAAATCCAATACCCAACTACCTAACCTTCCTAGCCCAACCCATCCCAACCTATCAAATAAAAAACCCCTCAAAAATACATACCCTAGAAACAATAGCCGGACCTCCAACCACAAAACCTAATTCGAGCTTCCTATTCCATCCAAGAACATCGTCAATCTATATATAAAACCTGCATGATGATGGAACGGCAAGTGCTTCCCTGTTCATCACCTTTCCCCGCAGTGAGGCGTGCTAGGCTAGGGTAGCTTTCGTGTTTGGACAGTTAAAAAGGTCCCTATCGCTATCGTCTTGTGGGAAATGTTCAATTTGGTCTTTGTGATTATTTCTTGATTGTCGTTTGCGCGTTTCGATATCTATTCATTCACTGTTGTTTGGATCAAGTCATTGATTTGAGAGGTAACGCAACAGGTTGGATTCTTCGAGATCGATTGATTGAAGAGATATCCCAATAAACAATCTATCACAAGATAACAAAAAGAACTATCGAAAGAACGATCGAAATTTCAGTACAATAAGATTATTATCAAGATGAAATTCTCGGCCGCTTTCTCCATCGCAGGTACTTTCATCGCTGTCTCTGCACAGAATTTCGGTGCTGAACCTGCTTGCGCTGTAAGTTTCATTTGCTACGCCTCTCCCCTCTCCATCCAAATTCACTACTCATCATCTATTCTATCTTCTCTCCTTTCGCTCCCTCTCCCTCTACACTTTCCATCCCCCCCTCCATAGATATATTTCCCTCCACATTAACCCACCCACCAGGTCTCCTGTCTCCAAAGCGCCATCTCCGTCGCCGGCTGTGGCGCCACCGACCAAGCCTGCCAATGCGGCACCGCGCAAGCCGCCATCCAAACCGCCGTAACACCCTGTCTCATCTCCGCGTGTAACGTCGACGAACTCGCGTCTGCCGCGAGCGTAGGCTTCGCTCTATGCTCATCATTCAGCGCCCCTGCTACCGCAATCACGGGAAGCGTTACCACCCAAGCCATCACATCTGAGAATCCGGGCGGTCTCGCAAGCTCCACAACGGCAGATGTAAGCGCGACAGGAAGTGCATTAAGCTCTAGCAATCCAGGTGGCGTTGTGAGCATTCTCACCAACACCAGCGTATCGTCTACTGCAAGCGCGACCGGTACTGCATTAAAGTCGTCGAATCCCGGAGGAGCAATCAGTTCAGCGATTTCTTCCGCATCGAGCTCAGTCAGTTCAGTCATCTCTTCGGCGTCCAGCTCGGCCAGTGCAGCTGTTTCTTCAGCACGAAGCTCGGCATCTGCATCCGCATCTTCATCTACAAGTTCACCCGCTTCGGTTACAACAAATGCGGCGCCTACTATGGGTGTTCAGATGGTGGGAGGATTGATGGGTGCGGTTTTGGGTGTCGTTGCTGTCTTGTAGGGGCTGAAGGGTTTATATCGAACAACAAGAATAATTTGTGGGGACGGAAGAATTGGACGGATCGGGTATGAAACTTTGCTACGATGTGATGAAATGGGGTGATCATGTTTTAGGGTGGCTAATAATTGAAACCAATGAATGAATGGATTAATTTTTCAATGAAATCTTTCCAGACTTGATAGAGATGATTACAGTCTTGATACCGCTCGAATATGCAGGAAATGGTTTCTGGGCCATCAAACGCGCAACACGATGGTGACCTCAAGATCTAATCTTTCAGCTGCTTACTTGATTTCGCACTTCACATCATGTCACAAAGAAATAATCACCATGATAACTCAGTCACAATTTCATCAAAATCCATGTAATTCCATAGAATTGTATTTTCCGCCAACTATCGAAGAAAGCAATGTGCCTTCCTCAATTCATACCAACTGTATGATGTAATACTACAACTGAATATCCATCAAACCCAAAGCAAAGATCGCAAAGATTGTGTATCCCGCGGAGTCTTTTCAAAGGCCGTCCAAATCATCAACTTAAAAAAGGAAAGAAATATCAAATAGCACAAGCAACTTTTCAGCCCGCCATTTTGTTTCGATAAATGAAGTGTCCATGAGGAAGATTTCAATCATCTTTGGACCGAGATCTAGGAAGATTTCAACTACTTTCCTTTAGATCCATCTTGTCTGGGAAGAATTCAGCTACCCCCTAACAGACTAGATGTGGTTCAAATTAGATGTCATCTTATCCTCTCTTCATTTATGCGGAAACGTCATTTCTAGCCTTCTTAGCTTGACTTTCGGCGACCTCATCCAACTTGCGCTTCTCGGGAACACCAGCAATCTCAGCTTCCTTCTTGGCCAACAAAACCTTCTCCTCTTCAGTCATATTTGGCAAAAGCTCAACAGCCTTACCAGTCTTGGTTTGTCTGTGGAAAGCACGAATAATAGAATCGGCATCATCAACTGCGATAGATCGGATATCGGCAAGGGCCTTGATCTTGGCGGTACACTCCTTGTATTGCTCATCAGACATCTCGATGTTCAATTGGTTGGCACGAGACTTGATAGCGTTCCATCCAGTAAGTCTGGATGCGAAGTGAACATATCTGGTCATACCGAAATCGGCTGGGTTGATGATTTCGTAGGTAGATGGGTTGTTGAGGATAGCCTTGGCGTGAATACCAGCCTTGTGGGTGAAAGCACTGAAACCAGTGATGTAGTTGTTGAACGGAATGTTAACCTCAACAGCTTGTGCGACCAAATCTTCAATATCCTTGAGCTTGTGGAGCTTGTACTTGCCCATGACATATTCACGGTCTGCGACAATCATACGAGCCATCAATCCACCGAGAGGGGTGATACCGTTTCTCTCACCGATACCCAAAACGGAGGTATCGATGTGAGTAGCACCAGCCTCCAAAGCGCAGTATGCGTTTGCGATAGCGCAACCAGTATCATTGTGGAAATGTGTTTCGATATCACAGCTAACGACACCACGAAGGGTTCTGATCAAATCGTAAACTTGTCTTGGTGAAGCGCATCCAACGGTATCAGCAATACCAACACGGTTAACACCAATCTTGTCAACAGTGGAGTAAATTGATAGGAGATCGACGAGGTTGGATCGGAAAGAATCTTCGGAAGAGAATCTGATTTCAATGCCGTGTGACTTGACGAATTCGATAACTTCAATAGCGGTGTTCTTGATGTAGGTCATATCCTTTCCGTGGGAGTGTTCCATAAGATACGAAGAGGTACCGATAACGACATCACTGAGACATGTTAGAGGTGATAATTCTGCGGGGGAATAATCAAACTTACACTCCATCAACACCAGTTTGTACTGCGATTCTTGCATCATCCATATGACATCTGATGTGAGTAAGAATCTATGAGAGTTAGTATGAATTTCAGTGTGCAGAGACTAGTACCAACCTTAGCCTTCAATCCCAACTTGCAAATAGCTTCACAATCAGCTCTCGATTGTTCTGAAGCAGCTGGTGAAGTCAATTCGATCTGCGAATTTTGTGTTAGTATAGTATACTCAAGAGAATTTTATAAATGACAGTTGACTCACGTAGTCGACACCGAAATCATCCAATGCCTTGGCAATCTCGATCTTCTTCTCGGTATCAAAGAAAGCGTTGGCGAATTGTTCACCTTCTCTTAGAGTACTTTCGATGATCTTGAAACTCGAGATATTGCTGAGGAAATCGCCGACGGGTTGATATGGGTTATCTCTCTTGGCTGGATGTGGGTTCTTCTTGGTCTCAATGGCTGTGTATCCTGGGTGAGCTAGAATTGATAAGTTAGTGTTGGCATCGACATTGGAGACTGAGAGGTATGCGCACTACCGTTTGATCCATTAGAAGTAGTAGTGCCATTGCCATTAGCATGAGCGGCAATAGTTTCTAAAGCCTGCTCTGGCTCACAGGAAGGACACATTGTGACGTTGTTGAGGAGTTTTTGTGGCGATTGATTGAGGTTGGTGAGGAAAGAAAAAACTGTAGAATTGTGTTTGTTGTTGGTTCTTTCAAAGGAATTGAATTCTTCTTCTTCTTCTTCTTCTTCTTAAGATGGATAGAATATGGTTAGACAATAGAAGAATTATGTGTAGATGAAAAACCAAGATTGATAATGTTCAATTGATGTGATAACAGAGTGAATTGATTCAAACAAGAGAGAGAAGAAAGAAAATTTCTCATGAACAAGAAGGTATTTATGTTTTCCAAGGAAAATCTTTCGAATGAGGAGGTATGACTCTGACTCTGACGCTCTTCTTTTTCTTTTTTGTTAGTGAATTGGGAGGTGTGTGGGGTTATGCAGATACACAACATACATAATGCATAAAAGATGCATAAAAGATGCTACAGTTTTTACACTCCACCTGTTGTGAAGAGCGAAATCGGACCACTAGATTTTCACTTGTTAGTAAGGGTTGATTATCATCACGTGCGATAAGCTTTAACCATTTTCTTAATCATGTCGTTGCATTACCTTAATCTTGATTGTATTGGGAAAGTCGGTGAAGTCGGTGAATGTGTGAATGTGTGAATGAATGCTTGAATGCTTGAATGCTTGAATGCTCTGATCTGAATCCCTTTTGAATGCCTCAACAATGTTTAAAGTCTGCCACTTCATTGCTTGATTGCTTGACTGCTGTATGAAGTGAAGCTTACTAGGTAGCTATATGAAGCTAGGTGTAGTACAGTCTTTACCTTATCGTCGACTAGAAAGCTCTTTCCATATTATATCACATTACATTCGTTGCATTGCATTTCTGTACACTACCTACCTAGGTACTGATGGCAACAATAATAAATATATATCGTCCTGCCTCCTCTTCTCCTTTTTTGACTGCTCACACTGCACAACACTCTTCTTCCTAGCTCTGTGCCTCAACAGGAAATCATTGGAGGCCGTGATTGGTAGTAACAATTTATTGGGACCTAGTTTCCAGTTGATGGCAGCTTGCGCTATCCCAATTCATTAGACAGTGCTCTCTTGGAGTGACAGACCAAAGTGCAGGTAGTTCATCGTGTTAACAGGCCGCCATCATCCATATTGGAAACTTCCACCACAGGACGAGTCAATGATAATTATCGTCTCAGCCAGCCAAAACTGTACACACCTAATGGCGGCCGACTCACCTCTCGTTCGCCTATCTTTTGCGACCAACCACACCTCAAACTGAATTCGACTTAATGAGCGTCGATCTTTCTTTCTCCAAGAATTTGTTGCTCTTCCCGTTCCAGATTTAACGTCAATTGATATCTCGTTGGATCTCCCACAATCCATTTCAGATAGGGTACACAAGAGATGAGGAGATAACCAACCGTTTTAATTGTATCTGTGTCAATCAATATTCATGGCATGCGCGAGCAGCGGTAATCTCTTGACTCCCACACCCGATTTCATTTGACGGAGAGGCAAGATATATGTTTGAATTTGGACTCTTTCAAACCCATGATCGTCTGCTGTGTTTGACATACAATTGCTGCCTGGAAATTTGTTTTGCCTCGTCCGAAGTATGAGGAGAGGTCGTTTAGAAACGCATTTACATTTTCATGGCATTGCCTCGTCCGAACTATGAGGAGAGGTCGTTTAGAAACGCATTTACATTTTCATGGCATTGCCTCGTCCGAAGTATGAGGAGAGGTCGTTTAGAAACGCATTTACATTTTCATGGCATTGCCTCGTCCGAACTATGAGGAGAGGTCGTTTAGAAACGCATTTACATTTTCATGGCATTGCCTCGTCCGAACTATGCGGAGCGACCTGGTGAAAAGCATCTGCATTTATGGCACTAGCGATTAGTTTTGCTTGGTCAGCAATACAGAAAGAAATGACCAAAATTGATGCAATTCGCCCTTTCGCTCTTTGGAAGAGGCCTGTGTTGCCTGTGTTCCTGTGTTGTGTGTAAGCACAACCACAACCACAACACACCAGGGATCCTTTTGACGTAATGTCCAGAGTTGGGTCCAGTTACGAGTGGCTTCCGCGGCAGCAAGGTTATCTATCAATGATAAGGCCAAGTCAGATAGCAAAACAAAAAGCAAGTGCTTTTGATTTTCAAATTCGATTCTTCCATTCTAAATATAACATCTTGGTAGCAATTTTATCATCGTTCCTGATGGCGCTTCACATTGTTCCAAATCTTCCTGCAAGTGTATCAATTCAGCCTTGCATTATACGATCCCTACCAATCATACCCTACGATCTATCTATCTTCGTTGACATGAAGAAACGAAATAGCTTCATAAAGGATTTAACCTTAAAAAAATGGATCTTGGAGAGCCAAGTCGTATAGTCTGTAATCAATTCTACGATTGAGCCAATCGCAGTTATCAATTTGCTTACCTCATAGCTGACATAAGCCTCTTTGCTGATATCATTGGCATGTCCGTGTTGTTGTCGTATACCTCGCACTCAAAATACTCCGCAATGCCGACATCTACATTATCTACAAATTTGCACTGCCTGGTGTTGGAAATA